TGGTATCAGTTTCGTAGCTTCTGAGCCACTTCGAATTCAAATCATAAAAAAGGATAAGAAGTCAAACACTTTATGCATTGGGTTTGAAGAAGTTGGGGATGAACAAGATCATCAGACTATGCATCAAAGATCAGTTTTCGACCGTATAGGAACTCCATGTGATCGAATATTTGTATTCAATAGGTTGTCGAGCCAAGAATCAAATGTCTCAATCATGTTAGCAGTTTGCCTCGTGCCTCTGTTTTTAACGGAATGAGCTTTCATGATCAAGGAACAAAATCTCCACAACCTTAATCTCGAAAGTCAATATTTTCTCGAATTGGTACTATCAATGATGTGCCGCTAAGAAGCAGCAAGAGTGAAAAGTCAAAGAAAACTAACATCAACGTGGTGAATAATAGTGAAGTTCAGAGCCTAGTGCCCTTACAAATGAAACATAAGACAGAGATAGATGTCATCAATGATGTTACACTAAAAGCTTAAAGGCGAACCATTGTATTCACTAATCAATCAGAAGAAGTGGATAGAGCAGAAGACACTGGTGAATCATCTCGTGTTACTTCATACCACATCACTGTTGAAGAGGAACCTGACTCTGAACAAACAGATGACATCGAGAAAGCTCCACCAACACTAGAAAACAGGGGGCAGGCTACCGTTGATCAACTCAAAGAACTCAACTTAGTGACTGATGATCAACCCAAACCAGTTTTCGTTAGTGCATTCTTAAGCCCCTTAGAAGAAAATGATTGCTTTCAATTGTTGTCTAAGTACAAGGATGTCTTTGCTTGAACATACAAAAAGATGCCCGATCTTGATCCTAAAATTGCAGTGCACAATCTCGCTGTCAAACATGGGACACGTCCGATTAAGCAATCTCAACGTTTCTTTCGTCCAGAGCTAGTTCCGAGGTAGAGGAAGAACTCAACAAATTAATTGAAATAGGGGCCATTCGTGAGGTCAATTATCTAACATGGATTTCGAGCATTATTCCAGTAAAGAAGAAAAATGGACAGATTAGAATTTGTGTGAACTTTCGTGATTTGAATGAGGCATGCCCAAAAGATGATTTTTCGCTTCCCATCCTCGAGCTTACTATAGATGCAACCACGGGGCATGAAGCTCTCTCTTTCATGGATTGTTACTTCGGATACAATCAGATAAGAATGACTCCGAAAGATGAGGAACTAACTACCTTTCGCACTTCTAAAGGCATATATTGCTACAAAGTTATGCCCTTCAGACTCAGAAATGCGGGAGCAACATATCAGCGAGCCATGCAAAAAATCTTCAACGATAACTTCATAAGATTGTTGAATGTTATATTGATGACTTGGTGGTTAAGATGAAAGAACGAAGAAATCATTTACAGGATTTATGTACAGTTTTAAATCGCCTCCGAAAATATCAGCTCAAGATGAATCCCCTTAAATGTGCATTTGGTGTAACTTTAGGGAAATTTCTAGGATACGTCGTACGTCATCATGGTATTGAGATTGATCCTAATAAAGTTAAGGCCATTCAAAAGATACCACCACCAAAGAATTTACATGAGCTTCGAAGTTTACAAGGTCATTGGTTCATCTCAAATTTAGCTGGTCGTTGTCAACCTTTTAACCTATTCCTAAAGAAAGATGTTCCATTTAATTGGGACCAATCATGCCAAAATGTTTTTGATAGCATCAAAAAGTACTTTTCTCAATTCTCTGGTATTGGGAGCACCTGTACTTGGAAAACCGCTTATACTTTACAATTCTTAGTAGATTTCTTAGTTGACCATCATATTCCAGCCGATTGGGAAATTTATGAAGATTTTTCTAATGAAGAAGTCTTCCTTGTGGATATCCTCCCTCCATGGATGATATTTTTCGATGGGGCAGCACGATCAAACGGGGCTGGAGTAGGTGTAGTTTTTGTTTCTCCAAAAAGACATGTTATGCCATATTCTTTTGCACTCGCTGAAAACTGTTCAAATAATGTAGCTGAATATCAAGCCTTAATCATCGGCCTTCAAATGGCGAATGAGATTAAGATCATAGATCTCGAAATATATGGAGACTCAAAATTGGTGATCAACCAACTTCTTAAAGAATATGAGGTTAAGAAAGATGATCTAGTGCCGTACTATCGTTATGCCTCTTATTTGTTGGAACAATTTGATAGTGTCATACTAGAGCACATTTCGAAGAAGGAAAATCGGATAGCTGACGCTTTGGCAAATTTAGCTACAACATTGGCATTAACTAATGAGGACCTGGTTGATGTTCCTGTATGTCAATGATTTGCCACAAGTTTTGGAGGATAAATTTGAAGAAAGTAATTTGATTTCTTGTTAGACGCAAGAGGAAGAAGACTGGAGACTCCCTATCATTGATTATCTGGAACATGGAAAGCTTCCCGAAGACCTATGCCATAAAACTGAAATACGAAGACGAGCACCTCGTTTCATCTATTACAACGATACGTTGTATAGGTGTTCATATGAGGGCCTTTTCCTCCACTACCTCGGAAATGACGAAGCAACCCATGCAATGAAGGAGGCACATTTTGGGATTTGTGGAGCCCATCAATCTGGTCCAAAGCTTCATTTTTGCGTCAAAAGAATGGGTTATTATTGGTCCACCATGCTCAAGGACTGCTTGGAGTATGCGAAAAGGTGTCAAGCCTGTCAATTCTATGCTAACTTCATACACCAACCACCAGAGCCGTTACACCCTACTATGACATCATGGCCATTCGATGCATAGGGTTTAGATGTAGTGGGTCCTTTAGAAAAGTCTTCAAAGGGCCACTTGTATATCTTGGCTGCCACTGATTATTTTTCTAAATGGACGAAAGCTGCACCCTATAAACATGTAAAAAAGGAAATAGTGGTTGATTTCATCAAGTCTAACCTTATTTATCGATATGATGTCCCTTGATACATCATCACTGATAATGGGACGAATTTCAAAAACAGTTGGGTAACTGACCTTTGGCTTCAAGCAACGTAAATCCTTTATGTACAATAGCCCTACAAATGGTCTCGCGGAAGAATTCAATAAAACTCTTTGTAAGTTATTGAAGAAAGTAGTCAACTAGACAAAGAGAGATTGGTATGAGCGAATGGAAGAAACATTGTGGGCATACCGCACTATGCATCGTACACATACTCAAGTAATTCCGTATTCTCTTGTCTATGGCGTAGAAGCGGTTCTTCTATTGGAACAACAGATCCCTTCGTTAAGGATAGCCATACAAGAAAGTCTTACAAATGAAAAAAATGCCATCTTACGTTTTCAAGAACTGGAAGCATTGGATGGGAAAAGATTAGAAGCTCAACAATAGCTAGAGTGTTATCAAGCTCGATTTTCTAAAGCATTCAATAAGAAAGTTCGACCTCGGCCATTTCAAGTTCATGACTTAGTATTAGCTGTTCGTAGACTAATTATCATGAATCGCAAGGGAAATAAATTTGTATCCAAATGGGATGGACCATATGTTATTCACGAAGTTTATACTAATGGCGCATATCTCATTATTGATGAAGACGGAGTAAGAATGGGGCCTATTAATGGCAAATTACTACCCATGAAGGCTATGCTCTTGATCGTATGAGCTTAAACTGCACTATGCTCCTGGCCCGCATGAGTTAAAACTATGTACGGCCCTAAGGAAAAAAAAAAGTTATTTTCTACCGAACTACGTCATTGACTTGATCCCTGTAAGGGTACGTAGGTAGCTTGGAAGTTTGTTCCAAGTTCAATTGTCCATGAAAAAAAAAAAAATTGTATACTCCGGGCCCGCAAGAGTTTAAACTGTGAACGGCGGAACAAATAAAACTCTTGATGCTTTTATTAATCAAAATGAAAATCTGTAAGAGTTTACTTAAATACATGAGAATGATAAATACGCTCCTTGATATGAGTCTAAACTATCTTCAAATTAAAAGCCAGTCCATGTCAAACTCAAGCTTGAACTACATAAGGATTTCCTAATAGACTGCATCTACATATCTCGTTGCTCTTTGAGTCGATTCGTGGTTGTTGACGACACTGTCTGTGCTGGTGGCATGACCTCTCGGAGTCTGGTCTCGCTCTATCAATGGCTGCTGGATGATCCATGATTGATGAAGACGCTCTGGCGATGGTTAACAGTGCTGGTGGTATGACCTTTTGGAGTCTGTTCTTACTCTCTTAATGGTTGATGTCTGATTTGTGGCTAATGAAGACTGCATCTGTCGTTACTCTTTGGATTGATTCATGGTTGCTGATGACACTGTCTATGTTGGTCGCATGACCTCTCGGAGTCTGGTCTCGCTCTATCAATGGCTGCTGGATGATCCATGGCTGATGAAAAGGCTCTGGCGACGGGTGTTAACAACGTTGTCTGAGCTAGTGGTAAAACCTCTTTCTATTTACATCCGTCGTTGCTCTTTGGGCTGATTCATGGTTGCTGACGACATTGCCTGTGCTGGTGGCATGACCTTAATGGGTTCTTACGGACTAGATACGTTCCAACGGAATAATGGGTCCTTACGGACTAGATGCGTTCCAAAGGAACAATGGGTCCTTACGGACTAGATGCGTTCTAAAGGAATAATGGGTCCTTATGGACTAGTTGCGTTCCAAAGGAACAATGGGTCCTTTCGGACTAGATGCGTTCCAAAGGAACAGTAGGTCCTTATGGATTAGATGCGTTCCAAAGGAACAAAGGGTTCTTACGGACTAGTTGCGTTCCAAAGGAACAATGGGTCCTGCCGGACTAAATGGATTCCAAAGGAACAATGGGTCCTTACAGACTAGATGCGTTCCAAAGGAACAAAGGGTCCTTACGGACTAGTTGCGTTCTAAATGAACAATGTCCTTACGGACTAGTTGAGTTCCAAAGGAACAATGGGTCCTCACGGACTATATGCGTTCTAAATGAACAATGGGTCATTACGAACTAGTTGTGTTCCAAAGGAACAATGGGTTCTTACGGACTAGATGCCTTACAAAGGATTAATGGGTCCTTACGAACTAATTGCGTTCCAAAGGAACAATGGGTCCTGCCGGACTAAGTGGGTTCCAACGGAATAATGGGTCCCAGAGAGACTAAAAATCATGAAAAAAAAAAATTGAAAAAAAAAAACGTGATCTGAAAAAAAAAAAAAAAAAAAAAATTTGAAAAAAAAAACGTGATTTTGAAAGAAAAAAAAAAAGAAGAAGAGGAAGAAGATGAACAGAGACATACCAATTATTTGTGTGCAAGCAGAGGCTGCAATTCAACACAATCTTCAGAAGTTGTAATCTGACAAATCTTCAGAGATTATTGGAATTGATGTCAATCCCTATAATATTGAGGGTATATATAGGCAACAAGATACCTCCAAGTTGTATTGAGATTTGGACAATTCAATTCAAATGGGAAAGTCAAATTCTAATCCAAAGTTGGATAAAAAAAGCAAAAGAGGAAAGCTTACAATCCAAAGTTGAATAGGAAAGTGAAAAAAAAAAAGAAAAAAAAGAAGAAGGAAAGTTGGATACTTCAAGTCCCACTTGAAAAAGGAGATAAATGCTGTCAATCTTGGGACTCGAACTAGGGGCAATTTGTAGGCACTAAAATTTTAGTGGGCTTTGATTTCGACAAATGGACCCATAAAATATGGGCTTAATGTTTAATTAAGTTATTTAATTGGCCCAAACTTGGTTCACTAAAATTATTCAATTAGCCCAGCCCAGATGATTAAATAAAAAAAGATAATTATTCATAATAAAATATATTTGGAATAATTACATTTAAGGATAATTATCATAATATAACTGGCCCGGCCCAGCTATGATTTTATCCTTATCAGGAGGTAACACGTGTCATCATCCTATTAATCTAAGAAGCCTATAAATAAAGGCATGAAGGAAGAAGGAGGGGATACAAAAATTCAGAATTCAGAAGTGGCATCAAGCACATCAAATCGTACCGTTCTTCATCAAATTCCACGGTGATCAACATCAAGCATATACAAAGACGTGCCGTTCTTCATCCAAATTCCACGGTGATTCAAGATCAAACTCGTACAGCCCTTGGATCCAACCAACCAAACAGGAGATCGAATCAAAGGACCTTACTCTATTTTTTGTAAAGAAAATTAAAGAGGATTGTACCCCATCTATCCAAATTAATGAAATATTATATTATTTGCTCTATATTTTGTTTCTATTGCAGACTTACAAAAATTTGTGTGTACACCCACAACCTGCTATGCAGTTTTGGATTCTTCAAATCTTCTTGACGAATAATTTCACTACCAAGATCTCTTAGTTGACCATGCATTCTCAACACATCATCATTTTCAATTTTTACTAGAGGCATGCGACAGTGGACATCAAAACAGCTCTCGTGCTTGCGAAAGGCTTCCTCGTAACTCCCAGATTGACGCCTCACATTGGATGGTTCAACATCATAGAAGATTGGGAGAATCAATTGTTCAGTGCTTCTCTTGCAATCCACCATCTGAGCCAGCTGGCGGAGGCACCATTTACTGGAAGCATAGTTCTTGGAGATGATCAGGATGGAGATACTGGACTCCCTGATTGCTTCGAGGAGCTCAGGGCCGATCTTTTCTTTTGCGAAGCTCATTGTCATCCCGAAAGGTGCGAACACCTGCGTCATTGAGATAGGTATATAGAAAATCTGTGAATGTGCGGCGACTCTCTGGCCCTCTAAAACTCAAAAACAGATCGTATTCGCCTCCTGGAACAATTACAATGTAAGCGGTCCAGCAGAGTGGGCTGTCAATAGTTAAATTTGGGCTGGTTTGTAAAAATGGCCGGTTCATATAAAAATCAATAGATGACTAAAGACGAGCAATCTATTAAGAATGGAACACAGCTTCTTAACCCTTGATATTAAAAGCTACCTAACCCACCCAGTCACAAAGCTGATGGAAATCAAGATTAAGCCACCGCAAATTAGAGAATAGAACACATAGGCCATCAGTAAATACACTAGCAGTCAATTACTCAATAAAACATATATGCTATTAACAAAGTCACAAGTACATCTAAACAAGATTCTACATTCAACTTGTTAGCTATTAGCATATATCTTGTCGCCTACGAGATAAAACAATATTTTACCTTATTTAAAACCATATATACTTTGGCAACCCTATAAAGATACAGCATCTTAAAAACATTTCGTTGTTTATAATTAAATCTAGCAATTCAATCAAAAAAAGCTATGTAGACTAGCACCTCCTTCGGTTGTCCCTAGTAATTGAGCACAAATGAAAAATATCAAACACGTGAAATAACTCAACCAGGTACCCCAGCGTAAAAGCAAATTAAGGCTCTTGTGTGACAGTAATGTTTTTTATATATAGTTATAACCAAATTTGAAATATGAAAGACAAACTAAGTAAGATCAAAATGAGAGAATTTTTAAGTATGTGCATTCAATAGGTTCGCAAAATCAAAGTAAACATATATATATTTTTAGCTTATGCATTGAGTTAAATCAATTGTAAATTGAAACAATTTAACTAATTTATATTATGTAATAAATTAAATAATTGGAATGCATCTAACCATCCTTATTGATATCACACATTGACATTGGTGACGTTAATCTACATCAGAGTGCATGTCTAATAGTCCACAAATAAAAACAAACCACAAACTTATTCTGCAAGTACTAACAAAAACTAAACATTTAATTATAAGTTTCACTACCAAACTCATCTACAATAATTACATATCATACAAAACACTCTCTTGCTCATTTCCCCATCCAACACCCAAGACTATAGACGGACAGTGGCTACCAAACATTGAACCTGAAAAACATATATATGGAAATAGTGAGCTTATAACCCAGTCACACTACTATATCAGAATAATACAAATAAATATTATGTGACAATTTCAATTTAATATTTCTTTAATATTTACATCAAACCTTATAGGGATTATAGTTTCCTACTCTCCTTGGCCAGAGTATGGACCTTATACAACTTCATGCCTTAAAGGCATTTCATACTTTATAGCATTTTCATGTCATTTAGACACCTTCATGCCTTATAGGCATCTTCATACCATATAGGTATCTATATGTCATATAGACATCCCCTATACTTCAATATATACATTTAAGGATAGAACTTCCAATTAATACGCTTACCTTAGTACTTTCCAAGTTTTTACTTATCATTCGGTACCGTCTATGTTGTCGTTTCCTTCTTCTTGCCTGTAACACATTAAAAGCACGTCATATATATTTCTAAAGAGAATTAAATAATAATCATAACCTAACTTAGTTCATAATCAACATGTAAGGTATTTCATCTATCTCCATGCTAAAATAACATACAAGCAAACCACATAAAAGCTTCCTTTCCAAAGAACATACTCAATTCTTCTCAACAACCCCATATATAGTATGGATTCTTCTATAATAGCACAAATATACATATTGATGTATTAAAGTCTATTTCAATCCCAAAACATGGATTATTCGTTACAAACTTCATTCATAAAACTTCAAAGATCAATTATGATAATTATGTAACATAAGTTCTTTAAAGCATTTCATCAAACACGTAGTGAGCAAGAATACCAAGTTCGTCATTTAAAATTACCCTTCGAGTATAAATTGCTACAAATGCTTCAAAATTAATACTAGTATGATTAAATATAATCAAATTATCTAATATAATCAAGTATTTTATAAGTAAGCAAAACAATGACTATCTCAGTTCTTGTTCTACAAACAGTCCCTGGTTTTCATCCATCTTCACGGATTAAACTGTATCAATTCTGAAAGAACCAGATACTCTACCATACATTTATGGAAAGATCAATTAGTCTACTTTCCAACCCAACAAATGATGCGCCATTCCGAATTTTCTACAACTTTTTATGGCCATTCTCGCAAAGGACACAAAGCTGACTACACAACTCAAATTTCATCTTCTCTACTTCTTTTTCATGCAAACTAAAATACTTTTAACTTCTAACCATCAATATAAAATATATTTATAGCATGTTTCCTACATTCTAAACCAATAATTCAGTCAAATCCATAAGAATCAATTCTACCATTCACACACTAGTACAGATTTTCTCTACACACACACATATATGCATTCATGACGGTTTCACTTATCAAAAAAAAAAAAATGATGGTTTCATGCTTTTTTTCAATGATTTTCTATGCAAAATTATATGTGTATTCCCATCAACATGAAACATGAAAAAGAATGATTCATAAGACTTACAAGTGTTAAACCTTTCTTCTTTTTTCCCTCTCCTACGGTCCTACCTTCTCTACAACTCTAAGGCTCCAAAAATGAGTTTTTCCAAACCAAGACTATATGTGAAGTAAAAACAAGCACCCCTATAAATCTAATCCTAATTGATTTGTCATGCTTTTTATGCAAAAATTTGACACCTAACATTATTTTAGATTTTTTCATATATCACCCCCTTCAACATTTTAAGTATACACCTTCGCCCCTTAAAGATATTTGCTTTTTAAACCATTCTAAGTTACTTTTTTTCATACAGGCATCTCATCAACTCTTCTAAATATTGATTATTAATATATAACTTTCTATTAACACTTCACAATGGTTAATACATATTATGATATATAAACATGAACTTCACGATACAACTCACACGAGACAATACATGCTACCACACATATGAAATGTTCATATGTAAATTTTGTTTAATCAAAATTAAACTATGTTAATAAAAATGATTATGGATTGAGTTTCACAATATACAACACAAAACTAGTCATTTTATTTTTCAAAGAGACAATTTCAGGCATATGAACTAAAAGGATTAGCCAAGTTGGTTACCATACATCCTATCAATATATGCATTCATCAATTAAATCAAAATACCACTTAGTGTAAAATGAAAATCTAATTATATAGACTTTGAACATACATTATATTACCATAACTATTCAAATCAATCACTAGAGATATTTAAAAGTTCAAAACAAATAGTCAACCATCAACGTACTCATGAAATCTAAAACCTCAGTTAAAAACTACGATCCATCGGATATGGGCATGATGTGATATAGAGCATATTAATAAACTGCCTTTTAAAAGCAAACAAGATAGATAGATATATACATCAAGGAGCATACAAATTAATGGCTTCCACAAAGAAAATGGCACATGTCCCCTAAAGAATTCGGACAAAAAATCATTATTTGCGTATTAAAGTGTTACAAAGTGCACCAATTTTTATTGTTTTCTCCTTCAATTCATACATGGAGACTCTACTTAGTAAATTTTATTTTATTTTATTTTATTATTATTTTATTTAGATTTTTTCATATATGACCCCCTTCAACATTTTAAGTATACACCTTCGCCCCTTAAAGATATTTGCTTTTTAAACCATTTTAAGTTACTTTTTTTCATACAGGCACCTCATCAACTCTTTTAAATATTGATTATTAATACATAACTTTCTATTAACACTACACAATGGTTAATACATACTATGATGCATAAACATGAAGTTCACAAGACAACCCACACTAGACAAGACATGCTACCAGCCTACCACACATATGAAATGTTCATATGCAAATTTTATTTAATCAAAAGTAAACTATGTTAATGAAAATGATTATGTATTGAGTTTCACAATATACAACACAAAATTAATCATTTTATTTTTCAAAGAGAGAATTTCAGTCATATGAACTAAAAGGATCAGCCAAGTTGGTTCCCATACATCCAATCAATATCTGCATTCATCGATCAATTAAATCAAAATACCACTTAGTGTAAAATGAAAAGCTAATATAGACTTTGAACATACATTATATTACCATAAATATTCAAATCAATCACTAGAGATATTTAAAACAAATAGTCAACCATAAACTCATGAGATCTAAAACCTCCGTTATAATTTAAAACTACGATCAATCCCATATGAGCATGATGTGATATAGAGCATGTTAATGAACTGCCTTTTAAGAGTAAACAAGATAAATAGATAGATATATCAAGGAGCATACAAACTAATTGCTTCCACAAAGAAAATGGCACATGTCCCCTAAAGAATTCGGACGAAAAATCATTATTTGAGTATTAAAGTGTTACAAAGGGCACCAATTTTTACTGTTTTCTCCTTCAATTCATACATGGAGACTCTACTTAGTATATTTTATTTTATTTTTATTATTATTTTTTTTCTCAACTGTTTTGTTCTCCATAAGCGCGTGCCTGGCTTTCAGTATATAGAATAATCACAGATTAGGAATCAAATCAATTTAGCTTAATATCACCTGAAAACCCAAGGAAATTGCAAAAAGTGAAAAAAAAAAGAAAAAAAAAAGGGGTGTACGAAAAATCTATTAATTATTTCGAAAAAAACACAAACTTTAATAAACCCACATGACATTATACAAATTATAGAGATTGATGGTATAAATGATAAAAGTAAGGTTATGCCTATATATATAAAAGTGAACAAACCTGTGAAATTTCATGTCCATGACTCCATCTGGCAGTGAAATTTTCTCCAAACGTCATCCACCTATCTTTAATATTCCGTGTTGGTAAAGCAACTCAATATCTGTGCTTGGCCGATACCGTACTTCTTCCAGCGATGAGCAACTCCACATGCCCACTTTCTCCAACGCTTCCAAGTTCTCAAGGCCCTCAATTTCACGTAAATTGCTGCACCCACTAATTTCCAAGCGTCTCAACATTTTAAAGTTTGACAGATTGGGTAATCTTACTATGGATCCGCAACACCCCACATCCAAATATTCCAATGATACAAGTCTATCTAGACCTTGGATCTTGTTGAGATTCGTGCAATTAAAAACTTCTAATCTTTTTAACTTGTTTAAGTTAGACCGATGTGGTTTAATTTTGAAGTATTTGAGCACACTCATCGCTACAGATGCCACACATTCAAGCAAATCAAGTTCAGTTACTTCATTGCACCGAGATATATTTAAGCTTGATAGCGATTCTAGATTTCCAACTCCTTGAATCTCTGTCAGATTCAAACACTCATCTATTTTCAAACTAGTCAATGATTGTAATTTTCCAAGCTCCTGAATCTCTGTCAGCTTCCAGCATCTCTCAAACTCCAATTTCAACAAAAATTTAAAATTTGACAGATCCGGCAAGTTTTCTAATAACCCACAATACCCAATATATAATTCAACCAGATTGAGAGGTAAACCCAATATACATTGAAGATTTCTACATGCTCGTATAGTGAGGATTTTGAGCTGAGAAAGGGCGTCAATCTGTTTGGGTAGGGTGCTAATGCTCCAAGAAAACCGCAGTTCCTGTAGATTAACTAGATTTGCAAGATTAGGGATAACACTAAAGTTTCTATCCAAGAGCGAAGTGACATTCAGAATTTCTAAACTTGAGGGCGGGTCTGGCAGTGCTTGGAGATTATCGCAGTCATCTAAGTCGAGGGTTTGGAGGCAAAGGAGATCACAAATGTTTGTTGGTAGGCTTTGAATTTTGGTTCGAGAAAGCCTCAATTCTCTCAAATATGATAATCTCCCAATACAACTAGGAATGTCACCCCTCAAATTACGACAAAATGAGGCATCCAGAACTTCCAGTTTCTCTAACGCCCCTAACCCATCAGGCAAGCTCCTTATCGCTGTATAGTTAAGACTGAGCACTTCCAGATTCTTCAAAGTACCAATGGATGGATCAATTTCATCCAATGCTCCACAGTTCATGAGATTCAATATCTCTAAAGTTGTATAGGTTGAAAAGTTGGGAGTCCTCCTCAACCCACAATTTGAGAGATTTAAAACTTTCAATTTATTTGACATCTGATGAAAAGATATACCCAAAAAAAAAAAAAAAAAAATCAATTTCTATCAAATATAATAAAATGGAAAACGATAAGAGTAGAAATATTTCACAAACCATGATTTGACTCCAACCATTCCACTCTTCTGATGGGCCCAAACTAGATGATAGATCAAGAATGACTAAATTCTTCATATGAAAATTGGTTGCTTCAAAATTGGAAGGGCAATCTTTCCAGCAAAACCATCTTAACCGTGACAGACAATGCTTAAAATCCCCAACAAATTCTGCGCCCTCTACACAGAGATACCTAAGATAAGATAGTTTCTTGAATGTTTTCGGTGTGAAGCAAGGTTCAGACATGTCTCTACTGTCAGGATGACTTGGAGACTTTTTTCTAATATCATGAAGATTTAGCACTTCAACTTTTTCAGTTCCCTGTCAATGAAAAACCATACAAATAAATAAACATTAATGGTTTACAAAACAATTTGGATTTATTACCTAAAGAAAAAAATAAACAATAAAAATGAGGCAATGTTTATCGTTTTGAGCTCAAATTATCTTTATGTTAGATTAAGGTGGGTTGGATTAAACGCCTGTAGGTTGATCAGCTTTGGTATATTTCCGCTCTTGTATATGTGTGTGTATATATATATATATATATAAACCAACTATACTTGAAATAATTAAAAGATGATGAATAACATTCTAATTTATAACATTATGAACATGAACGAGGATCAAGAATTATGTAATAAACATTCTACTGATGGTAGACCATACAAATAAATAAGCATTAATGGTTTAAAAAACAATTTGGATTTATTACCTAAATAAAAAATAAAAAAAGGCAATGTGTATCGTTTTGAGCTCAAATTATCTTTATGTTAGATTAAGGTGGCCGGGTTGGATTAAACGCTGTAGGGTTGATCAGCTTTGGTATATTTCCTCTCTTGAAAAATATATATATATATAAATAAAATTATAAACCAACCATACTTAAATAATTAAAAGATGATGAATAAGATTCTAATTTTTAACATTATGAACATGAACAAGGATCAAGAATTATGTAATAAACATTCTACTTCAATTGTGTAGACCCCTCAAAGTAAGTTGATCAACAAAGTAGCTCTCCATTCGGAACCAAGTGGACGGTACCATGAAAACCACGTACATTTGTGAATGTGTTATCATTGTGTGCTTACCCATGTTATGACATGACATGAAAGAGGATCAAGAAATAAACATTGATTAATTAAACAAATTAACACTCATATGTTATCTTATTTTCCTCAAATACATTTTTTGCTTCGGCTTGATTCCACAATCTGCTACGTCCTCTTGGATTTATATCATCTTTTTGACCGACCATTTCTCTACCAAAATCTCTAAGATGCATCCTCGACAAGTTATCATTTTCTATTTTTACCAGAGACAAGAGATAGAGAACATCAATTTCCCTCTTTCGGAAATAGTCACAATCATCCCACATGTAAAATGGATATGTTTTATCCATTCCAATAAAAAGACATGCAATATCAAGAAATATTTTTTGTTGCTCAGGGTTCAACCCATCATAACTTATTCTCAAAGCTTTTTGGACTTTATCGTCTGGCATTATCTTCAACTTCTTCAATGTCTCTTCCCAGATTTGTATGTCGTTCTTGCCAAACAAAAATGAACCTATAACCTCCAGAGCTAGAGGAAGCCCTCCTGTAGTCGATGCAATATCATTAGAGATCTTCTCATAGCCTATTGGAGGAAACTTCATTCTGAAAGCATGAAAGCTAAGAAGTTCGACAGATTGCACAAGGTTCATATCTGGGGGTTCATAAGGGTTAGCTCCCAGATCAATTAGGACTTTCTTGTCTCTAGTTGTAACTATGATCCTAGTTCCTAGACCGAACCAATCAAGGTTTCTCACAAGCCAATCAAATTGAGACTTCTCATTCAAATCATCAAGCACAGTGAGAACTTTCGTCCCACGAAATCGGTTTTGAATAGCATTGATTCCACTATTAGCATCAGCAATGTCTGGGTACCATTTAAGAGTGTCTGCAAGAAGCTGTTTTTGCAAAGTAACAATTCCATTATATTATTTATATGCTCATCGATTCCAACCAAGTTGTTAGATAGAACCATGTCGTTCCTCTTTAACTCAATCAACACTCTTTGAACAATCATCTTTATTAGTTGTCCTTGATGCCTGATTGAAGTCCAGGTGAAAAGCCGCAAATAATTAGTGCCGAGACAAAAATTAAAGTAATCAAAAAGCTAAAATATTGATGTCTTCTACTTATATACCATACTTATATACCCATTGAATTTTTAACTTTTGAACTAATTAATATTGGAAAATATTTCAGTTCAGGAATTTTAATTTGTGATTTTATCATGAATTAAGTGATACATACTTATTTGTCAGCTTATTTAATTGCTTTGTGTGCTTTAAAATCAAAATTTTTAATATCGAAAATATTAAATTTGTGTGCTTTAAAGAGAAAAAAATAGCAAAATTTACAGTTATAGAATCCAAAATCCTCATGTAACTTAATAACTTGAAAAATTGATGTCTTCTACTTTAATTATTCTCATTTTATTTCGGGTAAAGTGCAAAAAATTCCCTTGAACTATTGTCCTTTTTACGAATAATCTCCTTGAACAAAAAACTATCTCCTGAACTATTGATTTGTTACAATTAAGGATAAACACATTGCAAAAAACTATTTTACCCTTTCTCGTTAAATTTGTCATTTCTTATTAAATTATTTTTATTATCTTTTATCTTATCTAAATATTAATTATACTATTTAACTTAATTTATTATTAGTATCAATTTATCATTAAAAAAAAAGATTGTAATTACAATTTTATAAAATGATTAACTTATTATTAAAATTTATTATTTATAATAAAATTTATTATACCCAATTTAAACCTTTTTTATAGTAGAAAAATACTCCCTACCTTCTTTTTCTTACAATACATTGAAAAATTAATAAATTGCTTAAATAAAAAATACATTCTTTTTCATGTAAAATATTCATGAAAAATCAAGAAATTAATTAAGTTATTGTTAAAATTTTCTACTTAAGATTTTTATTTAATAATTAATTTTAAAAATTAAAAGTAATTTTATGCTAATTTAATGGAGAATATGTTATCAAATTAGTGTGAATTTTTTTTCATAATTTTTTTTAATAAAAAAATAGATTAAGTGTAATTTAATAAGAAATGACATTATGGTTATTTAATAAAATATAATCCAAGTATTGGAGCATTTTGTAACAAAATATGATAATTTAGAGAGTATTATGCACAAAGTATAATTTAGGGGGAATTATTTACAAATTCAAACAAAGACCAGAGATTTTTGCACTTTACCCTTTTATTTCATACTCATACCTATTGAATTTTAAAATTTTGGACTAATTAATACTACGTATTTGATTTGAAGTACTTTACTTTAGGCACCAGTACGTAGTTGACTCATGAAACTAATCATCATGTTCTACTTCTTAGCAAATATATATATAAATCATCGAGTTGTACTTTTTATATTAAAAGATAAATAGCATCAGACTTGTATTATGGAGTCTTAAGAGTAGTAGTATCAGACTTGTATTTTGGAGTCTTAAGAGTAATTAGATATATGTTACCTTATCTTCCAGAAAGGTTATTCTTTCAAATTTGTCTTTACGACAAATAAGTCCAACTTGTGAAAGAAGAAAAAAAAATCATATAAGCTTTAAAATACTAAATCTTCCATTTATACTTTTGTTAAATTTGATATGAAATTTAAAAATCACGCTCTCATTCAATTTACTAGATATAAAAAAAAAAAAAAAATTAAAAATAAAAGATTTATTTTATTGACTTTTTATAAAATACTTCATTTTTCTACACTAAAGTCTTCGTGAATTCTAAGCCAAATTTTTGGATTGAATTTAAATTAAATTAATTATTATTTAAACTCATAATGTAATGTTCATTAATTAATTAATATGAATATATAAAAATATTATATTATAGATTAAATTTTTTAATAAAGTTATAATTATAAAATTTTAATTTTAGCAAGGGTGTTAATGAAAGATTTTAGTGATTTAGAACTTAAAGTGAATTTTTTTTTTTTTTTTTTTTAAACATAGGACTTATTGGTCCTAAAAGAAATTTATGAGATACTTATATTTTAATTAATTGAAAAAATAGGATTTGATGGTAATTTTTTATTCCTCTTATTGTTTTGTGTAGGGAAAAATTAAGCAAATAGAAGAATACTTATTTATATATTTATTATTATCCCTCTCGGATGCAGCTAGCGGGTTAAATTAGCTAGTATTCCTAATTATGTTTTTTTCTGACAAACGAGGGGAGGACATATTCGACTATGGACACACTGATTTGAAAAGTTGTGCGCGCTAGGTCGCTAGAAAATGCCTGCTTGTATGTTCATGATTTATTGGATTTCGAACACTATGATGAAGTTTCCATGCATTAACATAAGGGGTTTATTAATTAGTAGGAAAACAATACCCGTCGGCTTCTTTCTTGACTTCCCAACCATCGAGTTCTCCAATCTTTGTCATTGCCTCCCTCCATTCTGTAACAGTTTTTCCATCGGAATGGCTCTCGTGCTCACGGAAGGCCTCCTCGTAAGTTCTCCCAGCATCACTATCCCCAGATTGATGCCGAATCGCAGATGGTTGGACGTCATAGAAGATGGGCAGAATCAATTGTCCCTTGCACTTCACCATCTGAGCAAGCTCACGGAGGCACCATTTACTGGAAGCATAACCCTTGGTGAATATTGGGAAGGAGATTCTAGACTTTGTGATTGCTTTGAGGAGTTCAGGGCCGAACTCTACTCCTTTGCGAAGCTCGTTGTTGTCACGAAAGGTGCGAACTCCTGCGCTGTCAAGATTGGTGTATAGGTGATCGTTGAAGGTTAGGCGAATGTCGGGGCCTCTGAAACTCAAGAAGACATCGTATTTGCCTCCTGAAGCTGTGAGGTGCCTTCGTATTCTTGGGAAGATTCGAGTAGAAGGTATTATAACAAGAACGACCTCCCAAATGTAAATGCCGATGATAAAAATATAGTACTGAGCTCGTGAGTGCTCCTTAAATCCTTCTGCATAATTTGTTGTAAGCTTCAACAGGCACATAATTAAAACAAATGAAGACACTGTGAACCGGACAATATCAACCGCCATTTTGTGGTCCATATTTATCACCTAAAGCAACTCAATGGAGAGAGACAGAATTTGTTCAAAGAATTAGTCAAGAAAGAAAAATTAGTAAAAGCCAACTAAAGAGAAAAAACAAGAGATCCGGCAAGTCTGCAACATCTTAAGATTCATATATTACAAGATTATTCAAGTCTTTTCAATAAATAAAAACGTGAAAAATAAGAAAAATGTGATAAAAAAGGAGCTACTAATTATTCAAACTCCGTTTGAGATACAGGTGTACTCTGTCCTTTCCGCCAGATCAACTGGTAACGATACTGGGCAGCCAAGGGTCTGTTTGATTCGCCTCCTACAAGAGATGTGGATGAAGATTAGAGAGCACGGTATTATTTCAAGACCCAAACACCCAAATTATATTTGCAAATCTCTCTCTCGATCGATGATGTTTGGGAAATGGATCTGCAAATTCTGTATCTGGAATTGGAAAATGATAGGCTCAACACAACCCATACACCCAAATTAACTTTCCCAGTTAAGTCAACAGGAAAAAGGGACAACATACCTTTCGGCTAAAGAGGCAGCTTTTTCCAAGCACTCGCATATTAAAAAACTTCATAGAAATTTCCAACGTCAAGAAATTTCCCCCTATTTCAAGATACAACATACCTTATAAGTAGGGTGAAATAGGTGGGTTGAGTCTTTGAATTAGGTTGAAAATAAACGCGATAAATATAGGTTAAGATTTTTATATAATTCATTTAGAACGGATTGAAAGTGGACGGGTTAAAAGTGAATAAGGTTAACCCGTTAGGACCCGTAAATCTATTAATTATTATTTATTAAATAATAAAAACAATATTTTGGAAGATAAATCTTGTACGAGTATTACCAACCCACTATGATACCAAACTCAAATCTATTCCAACATCAAGAAATTTCCTCACTATTTCAAGACACAACGCACCTCATAAGTCATACTTATGTTCAAAATCTAGGAAAACTTACATACATATAAAAGTAATAATGTTGGACTCAAATTATAAAATACTGGCGCCAGCAGAACCCATATTACAAAAACACGGACTTTAGTTTCAGAAAAATTGTGACTACATCCCAACTTCAAATAAATTTGTGATTAGGAAAAGAGATGCCAAATGAATACTGTGTGTCTAACGTACTCTTAACCATTAGAATACGGTGAATTAAACACAATAATTTTAATTAATTTATGTAGTAAGTTAAATCAATTATAAATTAAAACAAATTTAAAATATATGGCACATGCCAACCAATTTATATTATTTAATAAATCAAATAATTGAAATGCTGACCATCTTTATTAACATGTGATGATTATAATTTAATTATCCGTGGATAGGAGAAGATCGTTAAAGTAACGCGCTATCTCATAAGATTGAGATAGGCTCTACAGACTAAGATAAGGACTACGACTAAGATAAGGGTTACAGATTACGATAAGAATTGCAGAATACGATAAGGATTAGGCCAACAGATTATGATAAGGATTAAGGACGACGTGGACGCTACGTAACATCCTGACCCAAGTCCTATAAATAGGGAGGGCTAATCGACGTTTGGAGGTAGGCAAAAAACCCTAACTCAATATCTCGATTTGTCCAGAGAGATTATCATTCATACTGACTTGTTCGTCGGAGCCTACTCCACCGGTAACGCACCGGTATTTGTGTTGGGAAACGTGCAAGTTTTAAAAACTTTTCGAGGGATTTTGATTCATAGATCTTGATTCATCACATAGAGACAAGTTTTATGCAAAAATAAAAATATGATGTATCATTCAATTAATGGATTGAATACTTACATCAAAGGTCTGAGTAAACCTTTAAAACTTTCCTCTAAAGTGAATGTTCTCACTTATTGTAGATCCCTTTTGCTAGACATCTTTTCCATGGATCTCCATCTTCTTGGTAATGGTCTTGCCTTTAGGAATCACTCATAAGCCTCCATGAATGACCTTGGAAAACTAGGCTTGTGGGAGCCTCCATTAGATGAGAACATAAACCCTAATTTTCTAGAGAGAGAAAAGTTATTCCTTTTTTTCCTCTCATCAAAATCACCCCCTAAAATATACATAGACCATGTATATTTATAGGCAACATAAAAAATAAAGAAAAGGAAACAACAAATCCTTCTCCATCTCTAATTCATATGTCTCAAATCTAATATGATTCCAATATCAAGTTGGGCTATGAGTGAGAATCCATTGGGCCTATTATTTTATTGGCTACAATAAATTAATAATTGGCCCGGTCCATGGACCCAATTCAATTAATTCATAAATTAATTTCTACTCCACTAAAAGAAATTAATTGAACTCCAATTAAATAATAAATAACCTCTAAGTCAATATTGCACTTTGACCCCTCTATGCATAATTAGTTATCGGATAAATATAGCCATCAATCCGACTACTTAATTAATATATTTATTTTGGTACCTTTGATTATTTCTGGCTTGATCACAATAAAACGTTTGTTTGACAAAAATAATAATTTAAATAAATAAATATATAATAAATCATTTTGTCTAAAAACACACGAAGGCCTTCGAATTTACTTTGTGATCAACCATAATCAATACAAAATAAATTCAAGTAGCAATGATGCAAATATTGAAAATATAACCCTCTAACTATTAATTACATAACTACCCAAAGTGTCGGTCTAAGGATCTCGAAGAATCCGCCGAACAAATCAAAGTAATTATTAATTAATAAAAGAGTCTATACTTTTCTCATGCTTAAGAGTCAAATGCCATGACGGTGATAGGGAGTAATTGCATACGACGGCTCTCGCAATATATCTCAACCTAACGCGGATCCAGTTCAAGTCTTAATTAATTATGAGTCCATCCATAATTACCGACTATGAACAATTTATAATTACTATTTATATATCATGCATTGATTGTCATCACATACATATATATAAATATTTCTTGTAATTAACTGGACACTATCAATTTCATAGTGAATCGAAACATAATACATTGAATTCACCAATTATATAAATCATAAATATTTCAGATATGTCAGGAACATATGTCAATACAATCCAGATAGGAATTTGCTATGCCAGGGCATATAAATCCCAACAGCTCCCACTTGCCCTCATAGCCAATTCAAATTGCACCTAACTCCAATGTTATCCAGATGATGATCAAAATTATTGATCAATGACACCTTTGATAATGGATCAACAAAGTTGTGTTCCAATGCAATGTTTTAACTACAAGTGCATTTTCTTGCCGGACAATATCATGTAGAACATGATACTTCCTCTCAGTGTATCTTGTTCCTCTATGGAACCTTGGGTCATTGGTTTGGACTACTTCTGCACTATTGTCACAACATAGCTCAATAGGCAGGCTAGTATACTCCACAACCTCTAAATCAGTGAGATCAAACTAATAGGCTTCCTTTGCCGCCTTTAAGGCTGCAATATATTCCACCTACAGGTTTGAGTCAGCAGTTGAAATCTGCTTAACAATCTACCAACTGATCTCCCTTCCATTAAGTGAACTTACACTGAGTCATGAACCTCATAGTATCTACTTCTGATTGAAAATCAGAACTAGCATACCTGACTAGGACCATATCATCACATCCATAAATGAATATGATATCATTGGTTCTCCTTAGGTACTTAATGATATTTTTCACAATAGACCAGTTGTCAAGTCCAGTATTGGACTGATCTCTACTGACTATCCCTACTATGTAGCGGATGTCCTGTTTGGTATAGACCATGGCATATATGAGACTCTCATATGCCGAAACATATTGTTCCAGTCCCATTTGCTCAATCTCCTTTGATAGTCTTGAAAAACTACTTATTAGAGAGAGCCATCCATATCAATAAAGCAAGAACTCATTCTTTGAGTTATGCATACCAAACTTGGTCAAAACTTTATCAATGTAGGATTATTAAGATAAGCCTATTTTCCTTTTAACCTGATCTTGCAAAAGCTTGATCCTAGGAATATAGCTTACATCTTGAAAATCCTTCATTTAAAAGTAATTGAACAACTACCTTTTAATTGATGACAAAACTTCCACGTCATTATAAATGAGTAGGATGTCATCAATATATAGAATTAAGAAAAATAATGACATTCCTTTGTACACTCATGATTTATTCACTAAGAAATCTTCTGGTATCTTTTTGTAGATTAACTTGCCTTCCATAGGAATCACCCTACTAGAAAGTTCTACAAGATCCCAGAATTTATTAGAATACATAGATTCCAGCTCTGATTTCATAGTAACTCACCAAAACGATCTGTATCCACATCGGTTCACGCTTCCGTGTAGCTTACTGGGTCCAACTCATGTTTAACAGGGATGTCCATAATGGTCTCACCTAAAAACATGATTCTGTCGAATTGGATGATAATCCTCCCACTACATCAATGTACCGATGCAAGAATCTGTGTAATAGATGATGCTAACGCATCAATAGGGAATTCATATATTATTCTCAATCTCTATAATAAGTGTGTTCACATGTGGTACATCTGGTACTCATACCAAATTCTCTAACATTATGCTACTAGGTATGTGATTCATAATATGATTCTCCTATAGATAAACAGTGAGTGAAAACAATTAACTTTTATCTTTGAGATCATAAAATAATCCATCCTAGTGACATTTAGAGTAGCTATCAAATCTAGCATGCCTATGATCTGCTTCCAACTTACTTGTCCATATCAAGCGCACATGTGCAAGACTACCCCATATGTGCATATGATTCAAACTAATATTTAGTCAAAAACACAGCTCAACGGTATCCTTGAGACAGACTAAGATGGAATGCAGTTCATAATGTGCATCGATGTCATTAACGCTAAACTCTTAAATGAAAGAGATAATGTAGCATAGCTGATCATAGATCTACCCATGTTAAGTGGAATTCTGTTATTCCTATTTGACACCTAAATATATTTAGCGTCAATTGCGGAAAACTGGTACATAATACCCTCAT